GGTAAACCTTGATCAACACTATAAAGTAACAGGAACCTCCAAAGTCAGAGGCTGTTGTTTCAAGAACATTGGTCAAAGTTGTTATGATGTTTTCCACTGAGGGGAAAACTCAACTCAACTGTATTTATAGAGCACTTTCAAACAGCCATCGCTACATACAAAGTGCGGTACATGGAGCAATTTAACATATACAACAAACAGTAAAGCAAATCAGTAATAAAGATGGTAGAAAGCACCGAACAGCAAAACCAAGAACAAATCTAAGTCATGCTGAGTCAAATGCCAAAGAATACAAGTGAGTTTTGAGGCGGGTTTTGAAGATGGGCAGCGAGGAGGCTTGCCGAATGTTCATCTCTCAATATGTATCCTGTAAATTGTAGCTGCAAACCTTATAACCATGTCGAACATACCAACTCTGTGAGCGATGAACTCATCATGCAGTACTGATGAATTGGCATCAATCTGGATCCAGTCAATTGCTGTGATGGAGTAATGCCAGAATATTAAATGGGTACACAGTTGTGAATACCAAAACAGTATTTTGTAAAATATGCAGAAAGAAAACATGCTTTGTCCAGTTTAATTCCATTTTCATACTTATATGTCTATAACAATTAAAACTATATTAGCTACTTCTGAAAAAACGAGAGAGAACCGGCGAAAGTCAAGAAATTTTGTACCATCCAGGTTTTGATTTCTTCCAGGCAGGATAGAAGTGGCCTTAATGAGAAGGCGTCTTTTTTGCTCAGTGGGACATAGATCTGGCAGTCATCTGCATAGCAGTGGAAGGAAATACCATGTTTCCTTAAGATGGAACCCAATGGGAGCAAATACAGCGAGAACAGCAGAGGCCCCAGAATTGAGCCCTGTGGAACACCACATGACAGGGGAGCAGTGCGTGACTCAGAGCAGCCAAGGCTGACACAAAAGGTTCTGTCAGCTAAATAGGACTTAAACAACTCAAGAGCGCTACCGCCAATGCCCACCAAGTGCTGCAAACGAGTCAGCAGAATACTGTGATCCACTGTGTCAAATGCTGCAGTTAAAACCAATAAAACCCACCAAAACTGCCAGTTAACTTTGGTTACCTCATTTACAGTGAGTATGCAAAGTTTACACTAGTGCTGTCAAGCGATGACAAAAATTGTGAGATTAATTATGATCTGTAATTGATCTAATTAATCTATATTTTAATATCATCTAAAAATTGCTGAGAAACCCCCTATTTTCATTTTAACCCTGTAATGCCTGACCCATCAAGAAATAGCCAGAAAAACCTGATTTTTGGGAACTGAGATGTTCATTAACATGTCAAAAACAGAAGACTTTTCTGAGCAACACAAGTACTGAACACTGAACTTGCTTTGGAAAATAAAAAAATAAGAGACCCTTAAATCACAGTGCTGTAAGTCAGCACTTCAAAAATAACACTGCACATTATTGCAAAATAAAGTGCTGAAATAAACATCAACCACTTCTAGTAAGCTACAGAGGGCACAGCAGCTATGCTGACTTCATGCCTCGGACGCAGGGAGTTCTCGAGTTCAGGTTGCTACGACTCGCTACATTGCAATGCTTTCGGTGCTAACGCTACCTGTGGCTGCACTCGCGACGGGTGGGTGCTTTGCATTGATGTGGTAGGCTAAACTTGAGCTGGCTTTAGTGGGAAGCAAACTCCTTCTTTCAAATTAGGCACAACACGCTACTTTTTTCAATAGTGCAGTCAAGGCGTTTATTGAAAATAGATTTTCCATTCCTTGGGCGGAGAACTCCTCACCGCTGCTTAGCTGGCCCTCCCAACTCCAAAGGGAGCCTATCAGCTTCTGCTAAACACGCCCAAACATAAGGACAGCCAATCAATGTCCGCTTCAGGCTGTGACTGACAATTGTTTCCCCACCCGCAACTACTCGAACACAGGAAGCCAACACATAAAAACGGATATTATAAAAACGCAATTCACCTACAGAAACAATAAAGTTAGAGATTAAAATATAGATTTAAGCAATTAAAAACCATAATGTGCAAAAATATGATTGTAATTAATTATTTGCAATTACTGCGATAATTTGACACCTCCAGTTTACACACCCCTGGAGCGGGGGTGAGAGAGAGAGAGGCAGAGAGAGAGAGAGAGAGAGAGAGAGACAGAGACAGAGAGAGATCCACCATTAATGTGCCCTACAACCTGTATAACTCAACTGAAAAAAAAAATCTTAGTTTTTCAAAACAAGCATCTGAAATAACATGGTTACCCCAGTCTGCCCCACTAAAATGTGTTCAAAATTAAACAACCAGATTCAAACTCTTGTTAAATTGGAGTTAGCACACACCCGCCACCATTTAAAGTTGTTCTAGGAGGCTTTTCCTGACTTTGTTTTACTTCCTAGCAGAAGCCTGAAGGTCTTGTGCCAATACCGCCTCCAATCCCTCGACCTTGTCTTAGGTCCCTGGTGCAACTTAGAGGTAAAATCGGGCCTAAAAAAATCCAGCCCGACCTGGCCCGAGGGTATTAAAGCCCGACCCGGCCCGAGCCTGACCAATTAACTTGATTTGCAGGCCCGAGCCTGAAGCAAACCCGAAATTTCAGATTTTATTTGTGAGGACTCGGGAAGAGGAGCGGTGATTTATGATAACAAATGAAAGCCTGTCTTTTGTAACGAAATCTAAGTTAAACAAGACTGTATAAAAATTTACATCTTTTCTATTTCTGTTTCTGCAGAGGGTACGTGACAATTTTCCATCATTGACGAATTTTTTTTAAGAGTTAACGGGAAAAATTTAAGGCCGTCCGTCATTTTGATGAGTTGAAAATTGGGCCAAAAACCACAGCAGCAGTACATCCTTAAGAATCTAGCGCGGCACTTTAAGAGAGAGAAGCAGAGAGACAAAGAAGAACAATGGCGGGTGGTTAATAGACAGAGACAGGAAGGAGTTCTCTGGAATTGTCATTGCAAAAGTTTAGTACAGTACGTGTTGTGATGAGGCGACTTGTTTTTTTGCGAACCACGCTCTCTCGTGGCCAAAACTATTCATGGCCATGAAACGCCTCAGTGCACTAAACATATATTTATTTTAAAAAGTCAGCGAGAGAGAAGCCCGGCCCGACCCGGAGCAATGATTGACATTTTAGGCCCGGCCCGAATTTCGGGACGGGTCGGGCTCGGGCTTAAGATCTTACCTCAAGTGGAGCTGAATGGAAAATAGCCACAAAGCAGGACGATTCCACAGCCATGCTTCACTACGGTGTTCTTTTTGTGTTGACCAGTGTTATATTTGGACAAAAAGTGCAGCCTTGTTTTTTTGTGCTCTCAGTTCATTGAAATGACTCGTCTTCACGCAAATGATGTAAAACGTTTTATTTCAAAGCAGAATGACAACATTTTCTTTTTTTAAATAACTAGTGTATCAGAAACTACATAAGCCCAGAAATAACTTCTATTTCTACATGGAATGTAAAACCATCTGTGACACACCAACATAACAGTAAACTTCAGTTTAAATTATCTAATCTCTAAAGGAGAGCAACATACAATTTAGGTCAACAGCTTCCCTCTAACATTTCTTGATTTAACTGTCACCTACTTCTGTTATCCACTACAGTGCCATGAATAAGGATGTCCTCTTCTCAAATTCACACTTTTTTTTGCCTAGTTTCCCTTAAAGATGATCAAACATATGTAAATATTAGAAAAACATAAATGGTATATTTATTTATTAAGAGGGCAAAAACATATTCAAGACGACTTGGCCCTGTGTGGAAGAAGTAGCTTTGAATAGTCCCCCCCCCCTTTACAAATAAAATGTGTGATGTTTACTTTGTCTGATGGTGTTATACAAAGTGGGAAAACTCTGCTGGGAAAAAAAAATTACACACACACACACACACACACACACACACACACACACACACACACACACACACACACACACAAATATTTTTTTGGGGAGAAGAGGATAAGTTCTTTTTCACAGCACTGTACTGGCACCATCAGCATGACCAACAAAGAAAAACCAACAAGTCAAATTCCTCACTTGGAGTCCAACTTGGCCATTTCCTGAATGTATATTCCGATGCTCTCACTGTCAAACACAACAAAGTATATGTTTTTCAGAGAGGAGTTGGTGGATGACACAAAGTGGTTGGAGATGGCCTTGAGGATGAGCTGGGCAGCTGTCGGCTTTGGGAATCCATGCCTGTGGAGGAGGTTTACGGAAGAACAGTTGTTACAACAATGAAGCCTCTCAAATTCGGTTGGTCCCCTGCCGGGAAACCGGGCCGGGTTTCTATTTCATTTGTGACTAGATTTGAAGCTACCCCTCGGAAGTTGGCAGGACGCTTGATCAGAGACGCAGGTCAGTTATTTGCATAAAAGTGGGTGTGTCCTCACCGTCCAGCAGGGAGTGAAGGGAAAGCCAAAGACTTGAATTTCTTCTCCTCTGCAGCCGAGAGGCAGTTCTCCACAGTCTTTTCTAGATGCTCTTCACACTTGTCCGACCCCCACTGTGGAACGTTGCAGTGGATGATGACGTGGGCTGTCATTCCAATGGCCTGGCTCACTGCCACTGCGCGGGGGGGAAACGCACTGTTCAAGTTCAAAGATGTGCATTTTGCTCAACTGTCGACACGACACGCAAGCACAACACACAAAAGAACAAACGTTTATTCCGTACTTCTGATTTAACACACAATCGTCCAACATCAGTGTAGGATCAGTGCAATCGGTACCTGATGCCACCCCCAAAGGTCCCTGTGCTTTCCGTAGCTCCTTGACATCCTCCAGGAATTCTTGGCCTCCTGCCTTCTCCAAAGCGTTCCCTGCAAACACCAGCAGCAGCAGCAGCAGAAGATCAGGTGAATGCAAAAAGGCCGAACCATTTCTCCAAAGCGCTGCTTTCTCACCTACACCATCTCTGAGGTCCATCTCTGCATTTGTTGGGTTAATTATGGCATCTACCTTGATTGTTCCAATTTTGCCAATTTCAGTCACTGTGAGAGAAAGCTGTGGTTCCCAACCGTTAACGGCATCGTGTGAGTACAAGTTAGCATGAAAGCAGCTGACGTGACATTGGACCAAAGCAAAAAAAAAAAAAAAGAAATCCGGCCCTTATTATGCGGTATTACCTTTTGACCAAGGAACAGGCTCTTGGCTGAGAGGATGGTAAATCCATCTCCTGGGCCATCTTCCACCGTGGAGTTTGGTACAGATTCTTTGTCCTTTGCTGTGTTCTTTTTACCATGCAGAGGAACAAGAACGGCACCATGAAACAGAACACACACATTAACACTAAAGCTGAATGATTTAGAAAAATGATCCAAGTGTGAGTCCATCTGCGATTTTATATGCAAATGTTTTTACGTCCTCTTGCCATGTGTGATATTTATTTATTTATTTTTTTAAACAAAATACAGGCAAGAAATGTATCTGTTTGTATTGTAATAAAACAATACCAGATTTCTTGGACATACAGTAAATGTTTTCATCTTTATAGGTTATATTATGTTCCTGGTCTGCTTTTACTTGTTTTTTCTTCTCCAGTTACCTGGTGATGGGCTGGTGGGTGGAGCCTTCTGCTTCAAACCCGTTATGATGATTAGCAGGGTACTTGAGAGCGGCTCCCAAAGAGGGATGACATCAGATTATTGTTTGCTTTGCTCACAAGTGGGGGTTTTGTTGTTGTTTTTTTGGTCCTGCATGTCTGGTGTTGTGGGTATTTTTTGAGTTAAGAGTTCCTGTAAGTGGAACCTTCTGTTTTTGTCAAGCTTACTTCATCTCATCTTATTTTTTGTTAGTTTTGCGTCAGCAATTTGTCTTAGCCTATTTCAGTATGTACTTTCTAACTTGAGCTTTTGTACTTTTGTGTTGACTTTTTCCTCATGTGCTACGTGCTCCCTTTGTACTTTTTAATCCTATCACCGCTCTGATTTGTGAATAAAACAGCTCTCAACTGATATTGTGTTTTGCCCTCAACTCATTTTTGACACCTCGTAACAGGTTACGCGTAGGCTAAAATTACCATGAATAATATGAGACTTTATCTTCTTTAGTTAGAGCTGTTACAGTAACTTAGTAAACACTTGGACTTGCAGTCTTAAGCATTCACGCCAACAAAATTGCGACCAAACGAGCAAAAACTGGAATCAGTAAATCAAACGTCAAATTACAACGATAATAGCAACAAATCTACGGCTTTATCACTTCAACGGTCAGGAAAAATATATGTGGACTGAACTTAACTCATTCAGTACCAGCCAATTCTAGACCAAGTCTGAAAAGACGTTTAAAACCGTCTTTGGGAGTGAATGAGTTAAGTACTGCATTTATCTAGACACAATATAAATGTATCATATAAACAATAATAAAGCCAACCAGCTGACCAAAAATAATGCTTTTTTTAAACTTCAGCCTTTGCGATTTGAAACTTGCATTCTATGACATTGCAATGTCAATTTGATTTTGATTCATTGTTCAGTTCAAATTGACACCTGAAGCAAAAGCATTACAGAGAGCTACAAGTGAAGTCAAACTTGGCCTGGGTCGCGACTGTTTCTCGTGCACACATGAAAGGAAGGGACACACTCAACTGACCGACCTTTGGCTTTCGCCCTCGTTTGCCTTTAACCTTTTTCGAGGGTTTGACGGCTTTGGTGCTTTTGGTGCGTAATGCCTTCTTCTCGGGGATGGATGCCTGGCTGTCCGCTTTGACTCGGCTTCCTCTCTTCTTGGAAAGAAGCTCCGGGTGAATGCGAGGCAGGACTCCGCCGTTTGAGATGGTCACGCCACGAAGAAGCTGGAAAACATGCAACTCTGAACCAACTCATCGGGAAAGGTACTTCTTACGACAATGTATGTTCTCAATTTTTCGTAGATATGATGACGTAGCTCACGTCAAAAACACCCCCTTCTATAATGCTGAACTGGGAAGTGGGGCTATAGTATAGCCCCACTTCCCAGTTCAGCCGCTATACAGTACATACGCGAATGTCTTCCATGTAACATGCAAGGTATTTTTAAGTTGAAAATCATACCTTCATTTGACTTGAACATCATCTTTATCGTAAAATGGTAACTACCAACAGCAAGTGGTTGCTCATAGAATGTTGTACCTACCTGATTAAGCTCCTCATCGTTGGCCACAGCCAGCTTAATATGTCTCGGAGTGATTCTGCCTTTCTTGTTGTCCCGCGCGGCATTTCCGGCCAACTCCAAAATCTCAGCTACAAGGGAGAAGGCAAGTGGAAATCCACGACATGTACAACATGTTAATTTTCATTTTAATTCATGTCGTTTGTGATGCCCATTGTCTTGGGAACAGTTGGAACGAAGACGAGCCGATTCGTTTTCTATCTCTCTTACAGGGCAATGTGGACTACTGAACGAGAAGTGTGGGCCTCCCTGTGAATGAAATAGTCAAACGTGTAATCTCAATGACCAAAATGCATGCAAGTACGGGCGATCAAGACAGCCACTCCCCAGTATATAGATGAGGGATAGGCAACACTTTTTTTTTCAGTGCAAAGGGCTCTCGCGCATAAAAACATGACCATTAAAGGACGGCACTACACCTCTGACCAAGAAATCGTCATTAAGTTCAAGGACTCACTTTGTACTTTTTTTTTAAATCACAAAAAAAACAACTCAACTAAAATTGTATTACTGCGATACTATGTTTGTCCTGCATATTATTCCAAATCCACAGAAAAATATAAAGCCTACTCACATTGTAGTGTAAGGCACTATAAAACCCAATGTCAGCACAACAAAGACATGTCTGCCATCTATTGGTGATTGGTAATAAAACAACTTAGAAACGACAGTCGACCCCTGCGTATTTGCAATTTGGTAGTTCACATATTTGCAGAATTGTCATTTTTCTTAAATATATTTATTTAATGCATGTTACATTCAAATTTAGATTGTAAATTTAAATGTTTAATATTTTTTACATATTAGATATTTTTCCCCAGGATATTTTCCTGCTAATTCCTCCCATGTTTTTGTTTTTATTTTTTTAAGAGAAATAAATATTGAATGTTTATCAGCGTAATTATTTGGGGCCACTCAGTGTGGTGCTTGCAGGCCGCCACTTGGCCATCCCTGATATAGATAATGTTATTTAAAACAATTCTTAAAGAAATGCGACACAATGCACGCGAGTACGTAGCACACAAAGTGTCAGTGACGATTCAATGTGCACAGCAGGGAGAAAAAGAGTAAAGATTATTGATCAATTTATGGAGATAAAACTATAAATATTTCATATTCAATATTGTGAGAACTTGTTGATTTCAAGTGAGAACTTGTTGATTTCATCTCATTTATTTATGACATTTGTTCTTGTGGCACGGTTGGCCTGACACAGACATATGGTGGCTCCGGGCCATCGTTTTCAGGTCGGACCCCTTTTCAGATGAAAATATAAACAGTGATATTGGATGTTGGTAACTTGAAATGTAAATAGTGCTAAAATATCTCATTTTGGTACGTATACGGAATTGGGAAGTTAGTTCTTCAGTGTATATATATTCATTCAAGGAGGAAAACAGGGAGAAGGTACTTCTTGAAGAAAAAAATGAAATCTGCTTTGTTGTGAATGTGGGAAAAGTAAAAATACATTATTAGTTGAGAAAAGTGAAAGGGGTCTTAATAATTTCAGAATGCACAAGATACACCCCGGACTGGTCACAGTTCATCCAACAATTCATACTTGCGTGTGCAAAATTGTGCACCATTGGACAAATTTGTTTTTAATCTATGTAGCATGTATGTTTTTAGGCACATGAGGGCCTAAAGTTAACCAAGATTTCACTGTTCCCCTACAGCTATACAAATTCATTACATTAAAAAACATTTTTAAAAAAGATTATAAAATCAAACTTTGGTAACATAATATATGCCAACAGGAAGAAATTACTATCGGGTGGCAGTCCGAAGTGATAAAGATGAGCGGGCACCGTTCGAGGTTTGGCACACTAAATGTAAACGGAGGGCAGCCTTTTTGGATAAACACATTGTGCTGTCACCCTACCTGCCAAGTATTCGATGACTGCTGCCATGTAGACAGGTGCTCCCATGCCGATGCGATATTTATGTGTGCCGGTGCGCAGATACCTCATCATTCGGCCAACAGGGAAGATGACCCCTGCCCGAGATGAGCGGGACAGCTTGGTGACCTTCTTTTTCCCCCCTCTGGCAGACATCTCCTTCTGCGGCACCAAACGGGGTAAGAGACAAGAATTCAAGGATATCAAAAGGACGCACACTGTACCTTTCCAAATATATAAAAGGACGGTTTCAAGTGAGACAGTCATGCAGGGCTTCGCTTAACAGTTTATTATTGTGGGCGTAGAACTGCACTGCATACTCAAGAGTGGTGTTTGTAATATTTTAGTTATTTGATTATATGAGTAGGCAAAATATCAACAATATGTAATATTACTCAGTTATTTAATAACAAGTAAAAGGTTGATTTTGGACACATGACTCACATGCTTGTTAAAACTGAAAGGCATTTCAACTCTAAAACCATAAACCAGAAGTGTCTTTTTTTTCCGCAGGCCACATTGGAATTACAGCTTCAAATGGCCATTCTGACTGTAAAATACAGTAAATGTTTAATTATCTTATCATATTAATACATGGGCGGCCCAGTGGTTCAGTGGTAAGCGCGTCGACCTCACAGTGCAGAGCAGAGTCACAGGGTTCAATTCCAGCTCCGGCCTCCTTGTGTGGAGTTTGCATGTTCTCCCCGGGCCTGCGTGGGTTTTCTCTGAGTACTCTGGTTTCCTCCCACATTCCAAAAACATACATGGCAGGCTGATTGACCATTCCAAATTGTCCCTCGGTGAGCGTGGATGGTTGTTCGTCTTTGTGTGCCCTGCGATTGGCTGGCAACCGGTTCAGGGTGTCCCCTGCCTACTGCCCGAAGACGGCTGGGATAAGCTCCAGCGTCTGTCGTTCAACTTGAGAGGCATTCATGACCGCCTCTGAAAAATGTAAATTAACTATTACTGTACTTAAATAAAACTACGAAAATTGAAAATAATGCATCAAAACAGAAAATCAAGCGAGGAAATCACAAAATAAATTCTATATCCCCCCCCCTACAGAATTTATTTTGTGATTTCCTCGCTTGATTTTCTTCGTGGTTTCATTGAAGTAAAAATTAATTTACGTTTTTCGTAGGCGGCCATGAACGCCTCTCGAGTGGAACGGAAGAAAGCACGGAGACGGACAAAGACGTACAGTACCTGTACTTGATGAGACTGTGAAAGAGACGGACAAAGACGTACAGTACCTGTACTTGATGAGACTGTGAAAGAGACGGACAAAGACGTACAGTACCTGTACTTGATGAGACTGTGAAAACCATTAATAAAGTCTGCGTTTAAAAAAAATAATAAAACCACAACCACAGCTCTCATTTTTTCAACAAACTCAGGTGTGTCTTTGACCGTCTCCTTCCCTTCTTTTCTTCCGGTCAACTCGAGAGGCGTTCATGACCGCCTCCGAAAAACGCATGGCATTTCCTTTATCGTAGCTCCACCAGTACGATCAGATAAGTAAGATAAGAAAACCTTGAATAGTCTCACAATGGAGAAATTCCCACTTCACAGCAGCAAAGTTATGAGAGGAAGAAGTAGAAGAACAAAATAAATAGGAGCTGCTGGAAAGGCAGCCACTCTCGCGGTGCCATCTTGAAGTCAAAATAACACAACAACATGTCAGTCGTAGTTATTTATTCCTTTGTTGTGTATTCACAAATGATGAAATCACAATATAAATTCTGTAGGGGGCGGGGGATTTAGAATTTATTTTGTGATATCCTCGCTTGCTTTTCAGTTTTGATGAATTATTTTCAATTTTTGTAGTTTCATTAAAGTACTGTAATCGTTAGTTTGGGTTGTTCGGAGGCGGTCTTGAACGCCTCTCGAGTCGAACGGAAGAAGCCACGGAGACAGACAAAGACGTACCTGTATTTGTTGAGACCGTTTTAAAAAATGAACACCACAGCTCTCCTTTTTTCGGAGCTGCAACACAAAGTTATTTAATAAAGCACTGAACCAACAGCAAGTTGTAACATTGGAAGCATGTCTCCAGGAAGGAGCCATCTTGGAGTCGACGTATTACCGTAATGAACATATAAAAGACACACCGGATTTTAAAGCGCTCGGTGAGCTTTTAAGAAAATGGAAGACTTTTTGGTGCGCCCTATAGTGCGGAAAATACCGTACATATTCACAACAAATTGATGGATGACTACTTTTGAAATCAGAAGTCAAGCATCATGTTTTTTTCATGTTAATAAAAATAACCAAATCCTTGCAAAATCTTAACGTTTTGATGAAACAGAAATGGCCATTCCGTTCCTGGGACAGTACGTCACGGACGGACACCCATTTTGGAGATGGAGGACTTGAATTTTTTTTTATTTTTTTGAAGGATAGTCTACTCAAGGACGGAAGTACGTTTTTGTCTGTTCCTGTAATCGTCCCTAACCGGGTCTCGTACCTACGGATACCCATTTCCCTAAAACGACTAACAGAAACACGCCCAGCCTGTCTTGCGTGTGTAATCCGCCAATACACTACTTCTGACCGAAAGTGATGCGCCGCTTTGTCTTCATGCGTGTTGACCGTTTTTGTATGCGGGAGGGAGTGACTTAACTTCGCTTCAAGTAGACAAAGAAGAGAAGCACTCGTTCTCCATCCAAAGAAAGTTTACACATTGCCAATCAGTCTGGTGACCGATGGTGGTTGTGTTGACAGCTGAACGCTATCTTGGTTGACACTTCAACAGTTGTAAACGATTCAATCCAGCTGGCTGTTTTTTTTTTCCTTTTTAATTTTATTTGGCTGCGTCCGCTTTTTTATTTGCATGCATGTGACGTACTATGCACGTTTTCGACACCGACGCAAGGCGGCCAAAAGTTCATTTCAACCTACTTGGGCAAAATGGGTTAAGGACAAAAATTGCCTTGGAACACTGATCACCCAACTGCGTGTACTGCTTTGGGAATTGCTGGCAGAGCACTGGAAGGTGTGGGTGGACTTATTTATTAAATACAACACCCCACACTCAAGCTCCGCTGCTGTGGAAAGGGTTTTTTCAAAAGCCAAGGACAATCCTCAGGCCAAAGAGGACGGCCCTGACCAGTGTCAGGTTTGACAAGCTGGTCTTCCTCAAGGGGAATATGTCCCGTTTGAGTAGTTTGGGGAGGATAAGCAGCAAGGGGCCGAACGCAGCTAATGAGCTTTAAATAATATGCATGAATGAAGAATCCTCTGCCATTAGCCTCTCTTCCTCGGCGTCATGGACAGATACTTTTTTTGGGGGGTTGAGGGGGGACAGACAGGTGAAACGTTAGGATGGAAGCGCTTTAAAAGGACACAGACTAATAGGGAGGCAGGACGACTATTTTATTAATAAGGACAGAGGGACGATGATGGAAGGGTGTCTGGGTCGCAGACACACGATGGACCTGCAAAATAGGTTAAAGTGCCCATCTGTTATTAGACATTACAATTTAAAATTTTGGTAAAGATTTTTGGAAGAATTATGGAAGTTTCTCCACATGATTTGATTTTGCGGTCCACATAAATTGGTGCAGACCTCCAGTTTGACACCGATGCCATAAAAAAATTCTTGTATCATCTATCTTGATCAATTAATTAACTAATCACTCAAGTTTTAATCTATTCTATGCTTCCTACTTTACAGAGACAGTTTGGGTCAGGCTTATAGCAGGAAAACTTGAGGGATCCACACAGCACCTTTTTGTGGCCCGTCAGGCACAGAACAAAAATGTAAAAATCTAAGTTAAAAAAACAAACAAACTGGTATGCATTTTACACTGTCCATCTGCCAACTGAGAAGGAAGTGGAGGCTTCAACATGTTTTGCTTTTTCATAACCTGATAATGGAATGGCCAGGTGTCCCAATTCGTTTGTCCATTTACGTCACGTCCACCGTGAGTAGGAAGCAATAATATCGGGTCTAGGTTTTTTTTTTTAATGTGTTTTTCGGAAAAAATTGATAACGTCTGTAATGTATAAAAGGTTATTGGCCCTCGGTATTGCATTATTTCGGAACACGACGACGTATGTCGACGCTATTTGGTTGTCGTGCATCATGTTCGTGTTCGCACTAACTCGCACGGGTTCTCTGGGGCTGAAAGGCTGGCATTTCAGTGGAGGGATACAGGCACAGTTCACTCAGCCAATGGAAGAGAACGGGGCAAAGCACAACTCAACGTAGCTAGGCAGACGCTCGATTTAAGCATTTCAGCCATTTACTTTGTACAAAAGCTATCCCCAGCAGTTAATGGCTTGAGCGACTCGTGCAACACTTACAAACACTAAGCAAACAACGTAATGCAGTGCCAATATATGTCTATACCTATACATTTATATGTACATACATGAAGAAATAGCGAGTTGGCTGTGTCATATTACTCCGCACATCTCGCGAGCTTCGACTGTTAGTTATTCTGATACATTTTGTTCAATAACACACTTCAAGAAGGCCATTCCCGCCCACTTATTTTCTCATGTACAGCCCCAGTGCTCACGACAACCTCATCAGGCAATGGAGACTAGGAAGAGAACGTGTCCCCGCCTGCCAAACATGAGGCGCCGATGCGTGAAAATTAGACAAATGGTCCAAGTTTCCTACCTGTTTTTCTGTCCTCCTGTCACTCGACACACGCGCCCTCGTTGCTCCTGAAGAGAACACAGCAGATGAACCAACACACCCCCAGCCAAAGAAAGCCAAAGTCTTAATCTGAATTCGCTGCTCGTGTGTACTATCTAAGGTTAATTACCCTCAAGCCCCTCTTAAAAAAATACAGCAAGAAGGACACGCGCAAGCTGTATGGAGGCTGTCTCTGTGCTACTGATGCTGGAAAGGGGAAAAATTCAATACCGGAGAAAAGTCGATAAAACACCCCCCCCCCCTCCACTCCCCGTAGCGACATTCCAAAAGAAACGTTTGATCAACGGCGATGTGATTTGAACGTGTTAAATCAGGCAGATTGGAAACAAAACAAAAATAATTGCACCTTTTGATCTGTGGAGCAGCTATAAAATGATCACGAAGATACAGCAATTTCGCACAACACGCAATTTGAGACTCATTGTAAAATTTGACAACTACAGTATCAATCATGTTTGAACTAATGTAAGCAGCATCGTTTTTCTAATCACGTACCTTTATATCTAAAATAGAATGCCAAAACGGACCTAAAATTTGGGAGAAAAATGTCTCTGCAAGCCTCTTGTAATTCCATTCAGTTTGTTGTTACGATGTATTTTTCAAGTTATTACATTTTTTACACGTTAAAACAAGACAAACAGGCAACGTTAATTTATAGAGGTGTCAAGCAACATGGATAATTCATACAATTAAATTGGTTTGAGTGAAGGTGAGAGTCTAGAGTTAGCAGCAGCAATCAGATAATCAGTGTGCATTCTAGATGGATTTATAAAGGTGTACATATTATTGAATGTTATAATATTAGTTTCATTTATTGCTATATGTAATACCTAGTAATGCACTAGAACTAGCTAATAGTATCTGTACTAGGTTTCCTATGGCTGGGTGCTTAGTGAGACATGCCATGATTTGCTGACAAGCAACAGGCTGTGATTCAACATTGCAAGCTCGTTTGGTGGGCTGTGTGTAATATTTGACATTTGACTTTAGCCAAATGTGAATTTATAGACATCTGTTGTTGATATTTGCACTTATACAATATATTTTTTACATTTGTAAATAACACGAATTAATTTTGGCCAATTTTGTCATCTTGTGATCTGTGAATGCACAATTACCTACCAATAAAGATGAGTGATGACATGCCAATGAAGTCGTACTTTTTGCACCATGGCAATAAAAACAGCTCTACTTCTCCAGCAAACCCGGCACCTCCCTCCCACCCTCATCCCTTTCTCACTGTCTCTCAGAAATCAAATCTTGGTTCACCCATAATTTCCTCAAGTTAAACAGCAATAAAACAGAACTCCTCCTCGTCGGTACCAAATCTACTCTAAAAAAAGCCGACAGTTTTTCCCTCAAAATTGATAATTCCACTGTATCTCCTTCCCCGGTCCACGTATTTCCACCTTCGTAACATCAATCGGCTCCGTCCCTCACACACTCCTCACACCACTGCTATCCTTGTTCACAGTCTCGTCACCTCCTGTATCGACTACTGAAATTCACTTCTCTTCGGTGTCCATCACAAATTCCTCCATAAACTTCAACTTGTTCAGAATTCAGCAGCCCGGATCATCACGAGACCCCTCTCCTTCCATCACATCACTCCCATCCTCCGACAGCTCCACTGGATCCCTGTCAAATTTAGAATTAATTTCAAATTACTTCTCTATACATTCAAAGCCATCCATAACCTTGCCCCCCCTATCTGTCAGATCTTCTTCAAATTTCCATTCCCTCTCGCGCACTCAGGTCCTCATCCTCCCTCCACCTTTCTCTACCCTCTGCCCGTCTCAGTACAATGGGGTGCAGAGCCTTCAGCCGCTCTGCCCCCAAACTCTGGAACTCACTTCCACCCAATATTCGTAATATTGACTCTCTTTCCACGTTCAAAACCCAGCTCAAAACCCACCTATTCATACTTGCATATCCACCTTAAATCTTTCTCTTCTTTGTTTATAATTTCATCTGTGGTTTTATTTGCTCTTGGTGTAAAGTGTCCTTGAGTGTTGTGAAAGGCGCTTGCAAATGAAATGTATTATTATTATTATATTATAATATTGAACTACCAGTTGTCATCATATCTTCCGCACCATGAAACACACGTTTAATGCTCAGTCGTACACATGGCACATGAATGTGTTTGCCTTGCTGGCCTACTAAATGTGGTCATATTTAATGGCCATATATAGTTGAAACGGGTAGACCCAAGCTTTTGTCCCTAAAGTCAAGTCAAAATTGTCATGGGGTGGATTCATCTGATTAATAATAATTTTACAAAAGCGAGATTCATCAGAAGACTGCACTTTGATTATCAGGACAACTAGAATATATTGAAAATGAAATTTATTTCCGTATGACTGCCAGGGGCGGTGCTTGAAGCAATGAATGATCTCAGTCTTTGCCATGGTTGTTTTAATTAATGAAAAAATTACAGTCAAAAAAATAACTTCATTAACTAAAAATATGATGTTTTAAAAAATGAAAACTCACTACAACTGAGTCTTACGTTTATAAACTACCCCAAACTAACTACTGTATAATTATAGCTAAAATGTCCTTTGTTTTCATCTTTGTCAATTAAAATAAAATATGAGTTTCAGAATTAATTTTAGGTGTATTTCTTTTTGCCGTATGCCCTTACAGAGAAGGAACGTCAAACAATCGTTTGAGAATTGTAATTTACTTTTCTTACTTGCACAATAATTAATGCCCCCCCCCTTTTTTTTTTATCTTGCAAATGACAAAGACTATTAGAAAAATAAAACTAATGCTCAAACTAATAAAACCGAAACTAAAACAAAGCATTTCTGAAAGAAAGAAAAATAACAAACCTGAATACTTAAAAATAACTGAATCTAAAATAACAAAAGTTTAAAAAAAAAAACTACCTTATGTGAAAAAAAATCCCAAACTATATAACCATGGTCTTTGCACATGTTTTCTGCAATTACCTTCAGACATGTATAATGTATTTCGAAAGAAATCTCTTAATTCTCTTGACAGGGTCTTCAAATGATGAGGATCAGATGTGAAGGTGGAAGAAGTAATGGTGGAATGCTCAGCCTTTGCTGATAACAAAACATAATAGACAAAAATCAAGAAAAAACAAATCTACAATACAAGAGGCTGCCAATCTCTTCAGTACTCCCTCTAATGCACAGATTCGGCCGGCCGCATCATTTTATGTGGCGCCCCGAAAGAAAATCATGCGTGTCAACTTGCATGGTCCTTGCTAAAAAATGGTCCGAAATGTCAAAGTGTGATGTGTAATAAATGACGTTGAGATTTTGCAATAATTTGGTTACCCATAAAAGTAATAATGCAATAACGCGATTAAACACTTTTCAAAAGCGGCCCGCGACGAAAATGAGTTTGACACCCCTGCTCAAATGAATCACTCCTGGCGGCCTACAAGGCTTGTGGGATTCATCTTGTAAAATAAAAATAACTGAGGATATTTTCCAGGATAAGCTTCCTTGAAATCCAGAGTCATTTCTCTGAACTGTATGTCACCTAGTCCATGAGGTGCTGGAATCCCCATACTAGACACCTGACACCGAAGATCTTCTTTACTGTGAAGGCCGGGTGACCACACTGAGACAGTCAAAAGCCTGCTCTGGTTCCCCTTTGGCTCCAGTAAGGCTATTAATCCTGACCAAAATAAACAATTCAAAAAATATGTTCAAGCCGTTTATTTTCACCTTTTCAACGAGTTCATTTGAATTTTTGCACTGGAGATGGGGGTAAGTGGGCTGTGAGATGCCTGATCCAGCAGATGAAGCTGAAGAGGAAAAAAAAATGGCTTCAGTGGCTTCCAACCAAAAAAATTCTGTGGCCCAGTTTCCTGTATGGATCTCAAACAAAACCACAATTATATTAATCTGGTTTAATTGAATTCACACTAATTAAATGATTCACCTGTAATCTGACATTTACTAATTCGAAACTTTCAGATTCAGGTAATCAAGTGGTAAAAAAGGTGAGGGTGCGCTGAAAACCTTTAGTGGAATATTTCAAAAATTTTAATTGTGTGTGTGTGTGTGTGCGTGTGTGTGTGTAATAAAAGGGAAAAGGAAACAATCCAAAAACTGTTTTTGTGAAAATGAGAAGAAGCAGTTGAACGAAAGAATTTCAAAATGCCCCGCAAGAGACCAATATTACGTTCTACGCCATCAAAGGCTGAGCGTGCATCACTGACTCAAAATAGCGGGAGACAGACCAGTGTGGTTGTGAAGATTTGCTTTTTTAGGATGGAGTCGTTTTCGGTTTTTGAATATTTTCAAACAGTACAGTTGAACCTCGTTGCAGTGTACCTCGAGGGACATCACGAAATCTGGACGTTGTAGCGGTAGTTCGTTGTAACCATTTACAACAAAATGGCCACCAAGTATGATGTATTATAAAGTATTAACATTTATACATTAAAAAACACAAACGTAATGCAGTATAAACATGTCAATTACGTGTACATAGTATGAAGAAAAAATGATTTTATAAGACATGAAACAAACAACTATAGCGTTCCTACTTTCATCTTTGAAAACATTCAGTCAGCAAATGAAAAGTGCCTTCTCCAGTTCAGGATATGCCGCGCCCCAAAGCCATTTACGATCATCTCAATCTGTTGGCCTTGAATTCTGCCATGATTTTGTTGCCATTATGGATGATTGTCAAAATTGTTGACTTTGCCAATTCATAGTCTCGACTGAGCTTCATCTCGGAGGTTCTCTTTCCCTTTCAAAAGTGAGAGACAATTTCAGCATTCACACACAGCGAGATTTTCTTCCGTTTACCAGACATGTTTTCAGACGATGTGCTCAGGGCTGCGCCGTGCCTCCAGAAGTACAACGATGTACTAGATGATCAGTAGCATCGCAAAGCAACGGAGGGCAATCCCGCGCTGTACATTTTGTTCAGAAGCAAGGTTGCGGCGGTAGTTAACTTTGTTGTAACGAATTTTGTGGGAAAAATCTTGTCCTTATAATGAAGTTTACGTTATAAAGGTATTCGCTGCAGGCAAAATCGGAAAATGGAAAACTAATTGAAATCGTGGCTTTGAAATGTGAACAGTTTAAGCGTGAAAACATTATAAACGGGGTACCTTGAAAAGAGGTTTGCCGGTATCAACATGCCTAGCTGGTGTGTGTACGGGTGTACGAATCGGAGTAGAAGAGAGTCCAAATGTTCCACAAGAGGA